TAGCACTGATCTCCCCAAAACCTGGATCTTGGGGTCTTCCCTGCTCCCCCTCCTCCAGTCCTGTGCTGGTCACAGGAAATCTCTGATCCTTGTTCCTGATAAGCCCATATAGCATCCTCAGAACTCCTAAGAGACGGAGTTTCCAGAATTTCAGGGCATTCTCCATATTGGACATGTAGCCCTGAATATTTCTCCTGGTCTTTAAAATGCTGGTATGGCATAAAGGTGGACTGTGGCACTTTAGTCACACAAAATACCGTCTCCTTTAAGACTATGAGACCTTGATGGGCAGAGGCCTGCTCAGTCCTTGCCACCTCTAAACTATTTTCTAATTGAAGTGGTTTTCTAGTGACATTTAAGCTACTTTTGCGATCTAAAGTTATTTTGGTTCCCTATGAGGTACAGTAGAAGAGATAGGCTATGGGGGCTTGACATCTGAATCTAAGGAAGGCCCCAGTGACCATCCCCAATCCCCCCTCCCCATGAGGACTGTATCTTTCCCCAGGATGCAATGAGCAACTTGAAATTAGGGACTATGTATGTGCCACTCACTAATTTATGTCTCATATCAAGGCCAAGTTAATAGCTGTTCGGTGAACAATACATGAGTGAACGGAGACATGAGTGTGGGGTGTGGTGGGTTGAGACAGGGAAAGAAAACAGGCCCCAGCATTGCTTGTTCCGGTGCCATGTATACAGGCAAGTCATGAGTGGCAACTTTGGTGAGACCCTGGGTTGGGGTCCAAGATGACCTGAAAGTGGCAGGTCACTCACGGCTCAAATACTCAAAGCAGCTGATCCAGAGCAAGGCTCTTGGGAGCAGGCTGAAGAGCAACCCTCCTGGAGCAGGCTGCTGCTTGTTTCTTGAACTGAACTATGATTCGGCCATTTTTCAGGCACCCCAATCTTGTCCTAGGACCCCCTTTTTTTCAGCCCCAACTGCCACAGGGGAGCTCGGAACTGTCTCTCAGCTCTGGTCTCTCTGGGGGGCCCTGTCGGAGGCAGAGCTCTCTGGCAAGAGAAGCTGGGGAGCCTCACTCTACTTGAGGGATCTCCTGTGTCCAGGGCCAGCCCTCCTCCCTTATCTGTGGGTTCTAGGGGTCCAGAGAGGGCCATGTGGTGGCACTGACTCTCAATAGCCGGGCTTCCTGGGGACCGACTTTGGGTGCATATCACGCAACTGCTTTTCTGTGTAGTTTCTGTGCACAGGGCAGCCCAGTCCCACCCCAGAGGAAGGGCCACCCCTTTTCCAGCCTGCCTGCCTGGGGTTGAGCCAGGGCCCCTTGCCTCCTCCTCAGAACTGAGCCCCCCAGGGCTGCCAGAGCTCCAGGGAAGTGTGAGGGGGATCCAGGACCCGCGCTCCCACCCCTCAGCCCCCAACAGTCTTTCTCTCCTTGACATCACCTATGCAGCCATGTTCCTCTCAGTGGGAAACAGACTGCAGTTAAGATGGAGATCTTTTTGAGAGAAAAAAGAAAAAAGGTATAAGGTCGTGAGCACTCTTCTCCTCAGTCAGCGGTGCCTACCCTGTCAGGCAGAGCAGCTGCGGGAGGGCCTCTTTGACAGTGGGGGGAAGCTCCAAGAATCCTCCCCAGAGACACCTGGATAGGGCTGGACGGTGGGAAGAGAGGCTCAAAAACACGTGCACTGTTGCCCGCACGGGCTTGGGACACGGGCCAGTTCTGAGGCACTACTCGTAAACTAGGGATGAGGTTTTCCCCAAGGGAGGTGGGCAGCTGGGAACCCCTCAGCCCCCGGCTTCTTGCCTTGGCCACCTCTGTTTCTCTCCATCTGGATTCTATCCCCAAGAGAGCTGCATCCCTAGAGTTAGGGGCAGTGGGAGGAAGCACAGCCCACATCCCTGAAGCCTTCAGGCTCCATCCTCTTTGGGTGAGGTCCAGCCAGTCACCTCATCCTGCCTGCTCTCCTTGTCCTGACCTCACCCTGACTCTCTTCCCGTAAAGGGCACTCTCTTCTCCATCCTTTCTCCTCTTTTGAGACCATGACGTTTTATCATCCTATTTGCTCTGCTCCTGCTGTGCTCTCTCTCTTTCTTCAGATATAACCTCGGCATTTACTTCTCTGTTTCTGCCCATCTGCCTCTCCTGAGTTGGGAGACCTGTGAGCAGTTAAGACTGATCAAATAGTCCTTTGTTTTGATGCACTCCCCAGCAGCCATGGCCCAAAACAGGGGCAGCGGGGAGCAGTCAGCTGCCCCTCTCTCAAGCTGAGACATCTTCCTCTTTCCTCCTCCCCGGGCCCAGCTTTCTGGTGCCGAGGAAGCACCATATTGGTGATACTCCAGCCTCACTCCCTCTCTACGTGACCCGGTCTAGGAGCTCCCCCAAGACTCCATTGATCATCATCTGAGCTTTCCCCATCTTCTTGGGACCAGCCACTCGGCCTCTGCCTTTCAACTGGGGACACCAAAGAGGCAGCTTCCAGGCACAAGCCTGTGCCCTGTAGCACTGACATTCCCAAAACCTGGATCCTGAGGGTTCCCTTCTCCCCCTCCCCGAGTCCTCAGCTGGTCGGTCTTAGGAAGCCTCTGAACCACATCCCTGATAAGCTCATATAGCCTCTAGAACACCTTCAGACCTGAGGTCTCCAGCCTCTGGCAGCATATTCCCACCGTATCCTAAGTCACCACGTGATTTTCTTTTCCCCAACATCGGTGCTGCCCAAGAGAAAGACCCTGATAATAGGCATGAGCGTTTTGGTTTTAGACTATAAATTCCTGAGTGGGCAAAGAACTTTCTGGTTTCCAACTTCCTATGTGCCTGGTCACAGGGAACACTCACTGTTTCCTGACTGACTTTCCTGGAGGACTTTTGGATGTTGGCTTCCTCTCATTAGCTGCATTTACCCATGAGAACAGGAACTAAGGGGTGTGCCTACCTTAGCCATCCACCTGTACCCTGTATTTCTCTCTTCGTTGTCAGCATGTCAATCTGCCCTTTCCCACTACCCAGGAAGGTACTTGAATGCAGGAATTTTGTCTCATTCATTTTTGTATCCTTGCTGCCCAGCAAAGCTCAACAAATATTTGATAAAGCAATGAGTGTATGGATGGGTGAATTCCTGAACAAATATCAGAGGAGACTGGCAATAGGGAAATTCGAAGGGAGGTGAGCGGCATCCTGGCCAGGACACCACACCTGCCAGGATGCCTGCCAGTTGGGTCTGTTAAACTTTGATTTACATAGAAAGGCTTTTAATGGACCTTCCCCACAAGACCCTTCACTGCTAGCTCTCTACATGTGTGAGCATGATACATCAGCAATACCACAGTTAGATACTCCAGAGCCCTCCCTGAAGAGAAATCCTGCATCCATCTCCTCCTGCTGAGTAGGGGAGCACTGAGCAATGTGGGAAGCCATTGATTTCCTTCCTTGAGATTACACTTCTTCCCCAGATGTCTGATTCTGGTTTTCAACTCCAGTTATGGTCTTGTCTCCACTCAGAGCACCTGAGATAGCATAACTGGCCAGCAGAAGGGCTGTGTGAGGGGTTTTCTGGGCCTGAGGGGAGTTCCCCTACCCCCACCCCCTGGGGTTGGAGGAAGGAAAAGTGGAGGTGCTCCTACTAGGGTTTTGGGAGCAGCCTCACAGGGGCTCTTGGAGAGAGGGGCATGCCTTGGCACGCCCTCTCCTGCCTATTCCATGCTGTGCCCACAAGCCTTCAGGAAGCCTCCCCAGAGGAGGAAGTTCAATCTCCTCCACCTGGGAGCCGTTTCTGAGCCTCCCTCACACCTGGACTCCCCATGAGCTTCCCTGGAGGGAGACCTAGGCTAGAGTCTGAGGAGTCCAGGAAGTCCTAAAGCCTGCCCCTTTCCCCTGGACCAAGGTACTGGATGCTCAACCCTCCACCATTATGGTGGTGTTTCCTGGCCATTCAGCTGATCACTGTTAAGCTATCATTTCTCTCTGGAAACGACGCCCAGTCCCCATCCCTCTACTCCACTTTCCTGGTTCAGCTCCCTTGTTTCTTGGGTAAGACTTCTGGGAGGGTTGGAGGGAGAGGTGATGAGGGGACAGGAGAAGAGCACTTTGGGCTTCCTGTCCTGCCTTGGCTGGCCCCCTTCACTCACTGTCTCCTGCCTCTAACTAGAACAAAAAGAAAATGCCTGCAGGTCCCAGGGCCACCCTGCCAACCACGGCTGGTCCAGCAGGCTGTTTCTTCTGCATTCCGGCCCTGGTTCCTGATTCTACCTCTTCTGAGTCCCCACCACTCCACCCTCTCCTTCCTATTCCTCGCCGCTACTCGCCTCGGCTTCCCGTCACTTGCCCTCCCTTTTAGCATTCCTGTCCCTATCTCACCAAGAGTTCTCTCCTGTCTGTAATTCTACTAAATCTCTGCAACTTTTTCCATCCCCTCCATTCACCCAGGACACTTTGCCCTCACAGTTTCTCCTTTCCTCCTGTGTATCTGTCTCTTGATGACCCACTTTCCTTTCATAGAAACTGAGGCTCAGGCAGGTCGGGGGTGATGGCCCTCATGGGAGAGCAGGACTTAGTAGACAAGGCCCTGTATCCTTGCCATCCTGGCCTCTGCCTTGCCCTTCTTCCCTTTGCCCCAGTCACCCACCCAAAGGCTCCAGCTTTGTGTCCAGGGGGGAGCCCCTTGGGGAGTCCCAGAGTCCACCATTGCACACCCATCACCCTTACCCACCGCCTTGCTGTGGCAAACCCACAGCCACCCTGTATATTGTATATGTATACTTGTTTCTATTTGTATATAGATAAACAAATTCAAGAATCTACTAAAGGAGGAAGCCTCACAGGTATGCAGCCTGACAAGTTATTAAGTGGGTCTCTTTGAATCCCTTTTCGCTTCTAGGAGAGTTGTGAACCATGAGGTGCCCCCCTGCAGACCCCAGAGCTGCTGACCCCACTAGGTGTCCAGGACAGTTTGGAGGAGGCAGGGACTGTTGGCTTCCCAGGCTGCCACTTCTCCCCCACCCACCCAGTGGCAGTTGTGCCCGTTGTGTCTGTTGGAGCTTCCAGGGCAGCCCACAGAGTTCTGAGCATGTGCTGGCAGTTGCTCTGTAGAGTGCCCAGTTCACTTCTCCCATGTAGTTCCTAAGTGCAGGACTCTACTGAAGGGGCTTATAAATGGTCAGCCCAGGCACCATCCTCTTCAGACAAGGCTGCTCCATCTCCATTAAGCCCAGGAATCCACTTGTGTGTCTTTCTGGGTTCCTCATCCTTCGTGGCAGCCTGGGCTTCAGGGAAGGAAAGGCGTGAGGAGTGGCCTTGGCTGGGATGCCAGGGGCCCAGGAAAGCTCCTGCCTCTGCCAAGCAACTGCTCCCTGTTTCCAGAGGCTGCCTTGTCCTCGACATCTGATACTCCACCCTTGCAGCTTCCAACTCCAGATGTAGGTCTGGCTCCTCTTAAGCTATCATTTCATTGTGAGAAGACAGTTATGAAGCAGTGGCATTTCTGAGTCTCTTAAGGTGAGTTATTAGAGCCCCTTCAGACCAGTGGCTGGGGCCGGGCATGAGAGGCAGGTGGTAAGGGCAGAGAAGCAGGCCCTGTGCACTTGGGCTGACTGGAAGGGTTGGGGAAAGGAGCTGAAAACACCCCGGATTTCTCAAATGGGCTTGGAGAGATCCCGGCTCTGACGCATTGCCCACTCAAGCCAGAGATGAGCTTTTTCCAAAATCCAAGTCCATGAGGCTGGACTACAAGATTCTCATTCCACATGGGGTCCTGATGCAAAGGGGATATCCTGATACCCCTGTGTTCTCTCCTGCAGAATCTTGTCCCAATCGTTCCCAGAAGCCATGACATGTCCCTGCAGCTGGAGGCCTTTCAAGGGTAGCATAGGAGGCCTCACAGGCCCTGTGGCCTGTAAAGGAAGGTAAATTGGTGGCAGGGCTGAGTCTGTGCCTCAAAAGCTAACACTCCAGTTTCTTGACTTCCTCCCTTCTCTATTTCCTGAACCTGGATCGCTGCTGACAGGGATGGTGGGAGGGATGAGACAGGACCTCATTCATTTGTTAGGAGATCTGGAGTGCAGCCTCTCCAGTGCCTTGGTTACCCCCTTCCTCACTTCCAAGGGCTGCTCATGCATATTTACTTATTGCTCCCTTTTCCTGAGATGGTACCTAGTCTCCTCTAAGAACTGTAAATGAGAGGAGCCTCTTCAGTGAGAGTTCAAAGCATAGTCAGCTGCCTGCTACTGAGCCTCCTCCCTTACTGCAGCCTCTGCAAGTTCACTCTGGCCTTTCTTATCCTAGGTAGCCTCCAGTCCTTTGTCTCTATTTTTGCCTTTGATTGCAGCTTCTCTCCTGTTGTCCCTTTGGCTTGGCAGCATCATCCTGCAGCTCCTCAGTCAGCATGTGTTACAGGTGTGTGACGATAATGATGCATGTTCTCCCCAGAGTGGCTGGATGGACCTTGGACAATCACTCATGTACCCACATGTGTTCTCCAGATAATCTTTCCTCTGTGTAGATGGAGAGAGAACGTTGAGCGATCACTGTTCTTCTCACACATTCTCTCCGTTTTCCTCGCTGTTACCTGAGATGTCTTTCTCTGTGTGCCATTCTGCCTCTAATCATCCTCTTTTTCGTTTGTTCACAGTGAAAAACTGTTCTCAAGGAAAGATCCAAAGGGTTCAAAGGTGAAGGGTGCCATCTGCTTCTTCACTGATTCAGAAGATAAGGAGAAGAAGTGTCCCATTTCACCCATATTCCTGACCCCGATTTTCAAGTCTTCCTAACCCAAAGCTCTTCCATTGGCCATCATGGAGTTAGCTAACAGCCCAGGGAACCGGTCTCTTTCCCTTTTCCCCTTATCACCAGGCACTCAACTGGAAATGGCAATCAGATGGCTCTATATCAGACCCCACCACCTGGTCTTTGAAGTTTCTGTCCTACAAGTGCCACAGCTCCCCTCCCCCACTTCTGCGCTACTCCCAAGAGAGACCCATCCTCAGCAGCCTAGTATGTGATGCTAGTCCTGGAATGCGGTATTCTGGATGTCTACTGAAGGCCAAACTCCAATTATTGACTTTTTTCCCTTTATTCAAGACCAATGCTAGGTTCTTTTCATTGTCTCCATTTCTCTTTCTCTAGAGCTCCTGGAGGGCAAGACACTGTTTCTCATACATTTCTGGATCCTTGGAGCTTAGTTCAGAGCTTGGCATAGATGCTCAGCATGAGCTTTCCTGAATAAAGTAATTTCAAATGCCACATACCAGATATTGGTTTTTTTTTTTCCTGAAATTAGAGCTGAAAGGAGCTGAAAGCAAGCTGGGGGGGCAATCCTGGTGTGCTCGGGGAGAAAAATGAGAGGGATGAGGGCTGTGAGACAGGCATGCATGTGTTCAGAAGGGGATTTAAGAAGCAGTGTGCCTACTAGGGCAGAGTTAAGACTCGGCACACACAAGGCTGATCTTGAGGGCACTTCATGAATTTCAGATTCAGGGACTATTATAGATCTTGAAGCAACCTATCATGAGTGGCAGTTGTTGCGAAAACACTGGAAAAAGACAAATCTCATCACGCTGATCAAAGAGGAATTTCACTCTCTGCCTAGGTAAGGCTCTAGAAATTGTCATGGGAATAGAGCTGAGATTTGAAATATTTGTCAGCCTACTGTCTCTACACACCTTTATGCCACACTATTCCATTTACATTTTGTTCAGAGTGGGCTAGGTTTCTAGTTACTGATTCACATGCTAAAATCTTAAAAGCGATTTCTGAATCTTTCCAGGTGAGATGAATGTGAGTGAATTAGCTTCTGCAGTCAAAAATTCTCGTGTGTGTGTGTGTGTGTGTGTGTGTGTGTGTTCGCGTGCGTGTGTGCTGGTTCAGGGACAGGCACACAGTTTTGTGTGCCTTAAGCTTGTATGTGCCAGTGTGCTGGATTCAATGCACTCTGCACAACCCTGGCCACCACGTTGCTACCTCTGTCGCCTCACCTACTGGAGATTCTTCACACTTGTGATGGCTGATCAGAGTGTGATGCTAAAAAAGACATCAACATCAAGACCAGGGAGAGACAAAAAGACCACAGAGATCAATGAGCAGTGACTGACACGGATGGCCACCAAGGCCTGTGGCGTGGCATCTTCCATATCTCTAGATCCTCCCCGAGGCATCCCTCTTCCCTGTTCTCACTGCCAGTGTTTGGACTGGGACTATCAGCTCTTCTAAACCTACTGTCCCGTCACTCCCACACTTCCCTCAGATCGGTCTTTCCAGAACTTAGGCCTATGACCAAGTTCCTCACAAGCTGCAAGCCACATGGGACTTTCCGCCGCTCCTGCTCACTGCTGTGCCAGTCCCTATCTTGTCTCCTAATTATCCCTCAGGTCCAGCTCAAGACTTCCCTTTCTTATAGGAATGATTAGTTTTATGTGTCACTTGGGATATGCTGCATTATCTTGTTATTCAATCAAACGTGGATCTACATGTGGCCAAGACGTAGATTTTACAGATGTGTTTAATGTCTGCACTAAGTTGAACTCTGATGAAGATTATCTTGGATAATCTGGGAGGACTTCATCCAATTGAGAAGGAGTAGAGATGGGGCTCGCATCAGCACATCACCACTAGAGCATTCTTCTATGCGCTCCCACTGATCACAAAACCCACAGGTCTACCTCACTGCTAAGAATTCCAGGGACTGGCCTTTGGAGATAACCAAGGTCATGGAATGTCCCACCTTGGGAAATAATTCTGAACAATTCATTTACAGCCTTGTTGCTTCTGGCCAGACCACCAAGTGGCCCAATATTTAAAGTAACAATAACAACCAGAGAATGCCAACCTGCATACCCTCCCTTCCCTCCCCTGCGTCACCGGCTGTGCCCAGTCCAGCCTACACACCCAAACCCTGATGTCAGTTCCCATGCTTGCCTAATAAGAAAGCCCAACTGAGAGGGCTTATTAGGCAAGCATGGGAACTTCTCGGAGAGTAAGGGAATTTCTCTCCCTCCCCCTCTCTCTTTTCTGCCTCATGTCTGAGCATAGGCTCTCATAAAGTCAAAAAAACAATAAGTTATTTAGGAGTTATATATACCAAGTGTTTGATGAATCCAGATGATGCCTTTTTCAATTTTGCAAATGACAGTATATTAATTAGGCCAATTAGGGCTTTCCAGAAAATACACAACCAGTAAAGTAGATAAATGATAGGTAGATAGATAGATGGAGAGATTAAATAGGTAGGTAGGTAGGTAGGTAGGTAGATGGAAAGATGATCGATGGGGTTTTATTCAAATAGCAGGCTTACACAATTGTGGGGTTTGGCTGGGTAAGTCAGCACAGCTCATTCTGCAAGCAAGACTCTGCCTCCCTTTCACAGAGTTCTGTGGAGGAAACAGGCAGCTTGGGGAAGTACAGAAGTTTAGAGAGGTTAATTGCTGGTCACTTCTGAGGTTGAATGTAGGTTCTGCTTTATGCTTAGCCCAGGTCCAGACTCAATAAAAGCTCTCATTGTCTCCTAAATTTTTATGTTAAAACACTTCAAGCCAGGTGCAAAAGTAGGTGCAGTGTCATGTGCAGTGGTGCACACCTGTAGTCCCAGCATACTTAGGAGGCTGAAGCAGGAGGCTCTTTTGAGCCCAGGAGTTCAAGGCTGTGTGGTGCAATGATTGCACCTGTGAACTACCGCTGTACTCCAGCCTGGGCAACATAGTGAGACCCTGTCTCAAAACAAAAATTTCAAATTTATATAAAAGTTATTTACATAGAACCATCAATACTTATACAGGCTTCACTGAGATTTATGGACTATTAACAGTGTAATTTCTTTGCATGTGCATTCTCTCTCCCTCTCTCTCTCAAATCTACTTATAAAGTACATATTCGCATGTCCTTCGTGTTCCAGTAATGGTTATTTTATCTTTGCAACTTCTTCACCATATCTGCCTTGAGCCCATTTGGCCCTCTCTCACTTAGCCCTTTATTTCATGTCCTTCAACACCACAAGCCTCAGACCCATGGCTCACGCACTCCTTGTCTCTCACACTCTGACCATCATGAACCCCTGCCTGTCCCCTCCGCTGCCTCTTCTCTCACCTTTCCCCAATGCTGAAACCTTTCCATTCCACCCTCTGGAATTAACAATCCAACATTAGCCAGACTCTCTATGTTCTCACTTTCTTCTTACATGTTTACTTTTTTTTTAATAGGTGGGGAATTCAATCAAGAACCGTGTATTGCCTATCTCTTGAGCTTCTGTCAACCAGTAAGTAGTTTTTGAATAAATTTAGGTGTTAGTTCTTTGAGCCCTCGTTTCATATTTCTTAAGATGGAAATTAATGACAATAATAACTGGCATACATGATTGTTAACAAAAGACACATGAAAGTGCTTTAGATGTTGAGAAGTAAGCCACGTAAATTTTATTTAGATAGCTGAAGTCAAAGTTCAAGTTTTATTCATCTTTTTATCTACAGTATGTAGTATGGCGCCTGGAGTCCAGGCTGACCTCAGTGTTGTGACTGATTAGACTCAGGCATTCGTGAACATGATAGCAAGACCATTTTCCATAACAACTCAGTTATTGGAACTCACTTTCTTTAGTAATGCAGACACTGCAACATTAATATAATCACAAACCAGAGATTTCAACTATTTTATTTCACTTAGAATTTGAATTCACTAATTTTTTTTTTTTAAAGTTTGCTTTCACTGTGGAGTCAGAATTGACTCTAGAGAGTAAATAAACCAGGTCTTATTTTTATTATTTTTTCAAAGAACCAAACCCAAGTCAAATTTCTGTTTAATGATTTAAATATAGAGAATTTATTATTAGGCCTCCTCGCATTCCGTTTTTATCTCTAAAAAATACCCATCATTACATAAAATACCCAGAAGTTTTATGACATTTGTTCTATCTATTTTTAGTTGTCAACTCAAAACAATATTTCATTCCAGTTTAGATGGTTTTCTTCGTGCACCTCATATTTGGATGGATATAGTCACCATGTCTGATGTTGGAATCCTAATAGTCAAATATTTTGCTAAGAGAGGAAGAGAGAGGGAAGGGAACTAACATGTATAAAAGACCTTTACTATGCCATCTTCTTTATGGAAATTATCAGCTTTACACATTCAAAAGACCTGGTGCAGTCTATATTATTTCTCAGGAGGAAAGTGAGGCTGGGAGACTGGGACATTAACAGAAGATCCTGTGGCTGAGAAGCTCTGCTGATTTCCACAGCTCACGCTTTCCACTCTTTCACATTCATTTTTTTTT